GGAGTAGTGAAGTGGAAATAAAAGGCTTGGACTCCAAGCAGAGGGTTTTGTGTTGTTGGTTTGTAATGCCATGAGTAGTGTTGTAGGTAAGCACAGGCCCACAAGGTTGTTGGCTGGAACTCACCAGTCACTCCTCTTCTGGGTTGCTGTGAGTCGGAACCAACTCGATGCTCCCTAATAAAACAAGCACCGGACGGAGCCAGTTGCGCTACACACAAAACGGTCAGTAGAAACAAGCCGCAGCAACTTGCTAGAAAAGCATATGCTTATGGATATTTCACAGAAAACCAATTCCAAACAAGCCCTAGGATGGATGGATGCCAAGTTCAGCCTCACCTGCTGTAAGTGAAGCGCAAGTTACAATCATACTTTCTACAAAGAATTGTTACTAAGTGCTGTCAAGTTGGTTCCAACTCAGTGACGCATATAACTGTACAGATGGTAGTTCTGTGCTTCCCCTGCAGAGCCCCACCAGGCCTCCAGGAGAAAACCTTAGTAATTGTTTTTATTGATATTTGTGTTATTAAAGTAACAGTAGTGTAATAGTGTTGGTGTTATGAATATTATTATGTTTATTAAAGTATGTTTATACTAACAGTAGTACAACGTTAATAGTAATGTTAATATTAGTAACAGCGGCAGCACTGTAGGGAAACACCTTAAGTTTCTGGTTGGAGCATAAACTGGGTCTATTTCTATGAAGAATAGTTTATGGAGATCAAAATTCCAGTAGATGCACCCTTGGACCCAACAACCTCATTACTAAGGATTTACACAACAGATAGACTCTCACATGCCTAAAACAATTTACACACGAGGCTGTTGAATTCATTTGTCTAATGGTAACAGAAGTTTGGAGAATCTTAAATGGTTGAGTAAATGAGGGTTGTTAAGTGCTGTGGAGTCTGTTTTGACTCATAGGGACCCTCTATAGAGTCTCCGAGGCTTTAAATCTTCATTGAAACAGAAATGCGCATCTTTGTCCCATGGGGCGGCTGGTGGGCTCAAACCATGGAACTTGTGGTTCACAGCCCAGTGTTTATTGTATGGAGCCCCCGTGCTCCCCATGTGGTGTGTCCATACAGACATGAACAGACATGCTACTGAGGTCTTCCTGCTGGCTTCCTGTAAAAACGGGTCCCATTCACACACCTGCTTTTGAGGTTGCAGCCACTCTCATCTGTGAACCCCTGGGCTGCTCGCCTTGTCACACCTGGGCACATGGCCTTATATCTTCCATGGCAGGGGTGGTGCTGTGTGTCCCTGCGGGAGCCAGGGGAAACAGGGTCTCTGTCCCCTGGTGAGCTCAGCGGATCCTCCACGCGGCCTGAGATGAGGCAGGGTCGGCCTGGGGGAGAGACAGGAAGGAGCTAGTGTTGGGGGCCTCCTGTTCCTAGTTCCCACTCCCCTTCGGGCCCAGCTGTTGTCAGGGACCTGAGCTTAGCTCAGTGAGGTGCGCTGTTCCCTTAGAGAAACGGGCACTTTGTTTTTACCTTCTCGCAGTGTGCCTCCTCTGAGCTATCCTCTCTCTGTTTCTGGGGGTGAGGTCAGAGCCCTTTCTCTGCTCCCCATCATGGGGGGGCAGGGTTAGAGTTAGTGCTATAGTGAGGAAGACACTTCAGGTTGAACCCAGCCTCCCTTGTAGAGCCTGTGCCCCAGCAGCTAGAAGGAACTGCCACCTGGCCAGTGTGCGGAGCATGCAGTATGCATGTACCTGTGTGTAGCCAGGTCTCTGGGTGTGCAGGTGTGGGTGTGTATCCAGGTCTCTGCATGTGTGTGTAGGTGTGTGCCCAGGTGTGCGGAGGCATGGGTCTGGGTCTCTGGGTGTGTGTGCATGTATATCCAGGTTTCTGGGTGTGTAGGTGTGTGTCGGAATGACTTGATAGCGCTCACCGCTGTAGGGCGGAGTTGAGGGGTCCTGCTGGGCATCTGCAGATGCCACACTCTCCTGCTTCCCACCAGGTTCAATGCCTTCCACCCGGACACCAAGAAACCGATGCACCGGGAGTGTGGCTTCATCCGCCTCCAGCCCGACACCAACAAGGTGGCCTTCGTCAGTGCTCAGAATACAGGTGCGCCCGCCCTGCCCTCCCGGGCTGCCCTCCTGCCCCCTGTGCCTGTGTTTTTTGTGGTATGGTTGCCCTGGGGGATGGGAGGGGATGGGCCCTGCTTTCTAATTGCACCTCAGTTCTTAAGTAGCAGCGCTGCTGCTGCCCCCCCGCCCCCCAGCTGCTTCCCGTGGGACCTGGGAGCTGGGAGGGGAACTAGCACGGGTTCTAAGTGCCATCATCCCACAGATGGGCCAAAACACTTAACCAAGCTCACCGACTAGAAACTGCTCCAAAGTGAGCTGCCTGCCCCTCCCCACTCTGATCAGGGTCCTTCCTGGGAGCCGGCAGCTCAGGCTCCACCTCTCAGAACAGGCCAGCATCTCCAAGCTCAGTCACCCCTCTATGGAGCACACCCTTGAGGTGTGAGAGCATGGCTCTAGACCCCCAATTCCCCCCCTAGAGTTCTTGCGTATGACAGATCCCCATCTGGAGCTGCCTGGATGAGAATGTTGCCTAGTGGGGTCTTGGGGTGGGGTCTGCGGCAGAGCCAGCCCACACACTCTGATGCAGCCTTTGTTGTAGGTCTCGTGGAAGTGGAGGAGGGCGAGGTGAACGGGCACGAGCTGTCCATTGCCTCCCACTCCATCGCCAGGATCTCCTTCGCCAAGGAGCCCCACGTGGAGCAGGTGAGCGCGCCACACCACCGTCCTCTGCTGGTCCCCATGGGTCTGGGGTGCAGGCTCCAGGGTGGGGACCTCACAGCTCCTGGGAGGCGCTGGGACTGTCAGCTTGGAGTTCCCGAGAGAGATCGTCTCCCACCCAGGGTCCAGGATGCAGATGAGCACCCATATAGTAGAGTACCACATCTCTAATGACAGCTCCCTGGTGACTGTAAAAGCCTTAACGGTCCCTTCAGACGCCTGATACTCTCAAGGGAATGTGGCCTCAAAGCCTGGGTGAGCGCACTGACCCCTCTGAGAAGATGTTCCTGCCTCCCCCGACACCTGCGGGCCTCCCTCTGAGAGTAAGGGCTGCCCGTGCTCTCTGCCTCTGCCTCTGCCCAGGATGTGCCGTAGGCCAGGGCTGCCACCCACTAATGAGAAATGACACTTGTCCAGGCCACTAGGATAAAGCCTCCATGGGCAGGTAAATGCTCTTCTAAGTTTAATAGAAGCAATTTAAGTACCAGCGTCATACTAAGTGAATGTCAGAACCTGCGTGTATGTACACACACCTGCACGTGTGCACATACCTACTTTGGCATAGAGATAGTGCGTACTTTAAGCATTTCTTATGTGAATGTCAGCGCATGTAGCCGATGGGGAAGGCAGAGTGAGCACCATGGGTTAGCTTGCTGGTTCCTTTATCACCCGCACACCCCACCTACCCGGCTGAGAGGAGCCCCTAGGACAGTCCCACCGGTGGACTCTCTACTGCCCAGTACACTCCAAGCAGCTCCAGGCCCCCAGCCTGCCCCGTGGAGGGGGTTAGGAGCCACCTTCCCTCTCGCTCTTCCTGTGTCCTGATGCTAGTGGCTCTGAGCTCATCCCCAACCTGGACACTCAGGTCACTGTGCGAGTGGACAGCTACCACAAAGATGCCCCCAGATCGTGGCCCAGCCCCGTCCTTGGACTTCTCCAATTTGAAGTTCTTAGTGGGCTTCTCTCAGAGGGTGGTGTTCCTATGACCCTTCCCCATACCCAAGGTCAAAAAGAACCTTTTTTTTCCTCCCGGAAGTTTTTCATTTGGTCATGAATTCACCTGAGCTTGAGTCCCGGTACATGGGGTGGGGTGAGGTTGGGCCCAGGCCCCAGCACTGGTCACTGGTCACTGCCCCTGCCCCTGCCCATTGAGGGGTCCTGGCTACCCCTATAGCAGCACCATACCTCTTAACTCCAAGCTTTTGTGGTAATTTATTTTTATCTTTTTAAAAATCAGCCCTGTTGCCTAATTTGCTTATGAACACACACATTTCAAGGATGCACTTGGAGACATCTTAACATGTGTGTGTCTTCTTGGGCCCACCACCCCAATTCAGACCTGGGGCAACCTGTCACCCCAGAAAACCCACTGCTCCTGGAGCGTCTGTCCGCGAGATGTTTCTCCCCGCTGCTTCTTTCGTTGACTTTCTCCATCCCCTGTGTATCGCAGAAGAGGTTGGCCTAGCGGGCAGATGGCATTGCCTCTGCCTTGGGCAGCTCCATGTGTGTGCCAAGACCATGGCCAAGTATAAGTGAGAGGGTAGAGGGCCAGGAATGTGTGTCATATCGCGACCCAAAAACCTTTACGTCTAATAGAGCAAAACCAGTTACCACAAATCTTAAGATAAACGTAGTGAGTGCTGAAAAAGTTACTAAAAATGTGTATATGTTTATGTATCTGTAAAGCATTCATAGCTACGCATATGAGCGTACGTGTTTCTCAGCGGCCTCTCCCTTGAACCGCTGCAGTGGCTGAGCTTGACGGCTACAAGATGGAGAGCTCAGTGGAATGCCGTGGGAGGGTGGGGGGTACTGCAGATTACCAGGAAAAAGACAGTAAATGGAGCCTTTTATACACACCTGTACTGACCTGTCCAGTGAGTACCTTCCCCAACGGGATTCCCATGGGACCACCAGCCCCACGTTTGCCATCCTGGGTTCCCAGGGCACCTAGGACTCCGTGTGGCTGGAACCGAATGACATGGGTAGTGTGCCTGGGGGCACCCGGGGACACCTTGGGTAAACATTGAGCTGCTAGCCAAACAGCCACAGTTGGAACCCAGCTGCCACTCCTCCAGGGAAAGAGTCGGCATTGTGCTCTCATACAGATTTAGTCTCAGAAACCCAGTGGGACAGTTCTCTGTCCTCGGTCGCCATGAGTTGCAGTCCAGTAGAGGGCCATGGGTGGACCCTTTGTATGAATGTGCCCCCTTGTGTTTCTCCATCATCTGTTGATGGACATTTGGATTGTTTCTCTGCTGTTCTGAATACCAAGTCTTTGTGTAGACATTTTCATTTCTCTTCATAAACATCTGGAATGACCACGGCTGAGTCGCACTGTAAATGCATCCTGTCTGCCCGAGGATTGGACTTCCCCTCGTGGCTGGGTGTGATGAGGAGGCCATGGGGGTGCTGATTGCGTTTCCTGTCTTCTCACTACTCGTATTTCTTGTTTTCTCTAGTGGGGTAACCGCTGGTCATGTAGTCTGCGGTCACGGCCACGTCCTCTGTGGTCTGGGGCGCCCCTCACATGCACAGGCTTCCCTTTCACTTTACCGTTAGGAAGTAGGGAATTCATGTTGGATGTGGTCGGAAGCAGGATCATTCTTAAGTGTTTGTGTGTGTTTTCCTGTACAGATTATCGGTTGTCCCCACACCCATTTGTTGGAGAAAATGATCTTTAACTCACTGATGTATATGGTGCCTCAGTTGGACATTAGTCCGCTGTATTCTGTGTGTGTCCCATGCAGGTGTGTCCTGGCTGGGTGTCCCAGGTGGGTGTGTCCCGTGCAGGTGTGTTGGGGTAGGTGTATCCTGTGTGGGTGTGTCGGGTGAGTGTGTTCTTTATGAATTGGAGACTCAACTTCTCATAAAGGTTGAATTACTCGAATTCCAGCTCCATTTAGGTAGACGCTCCCAAGCACGGCACACTGAGCCTTCGGTCGTGTGGCCCTGCCGATGGGGGTGGCTGTATGCCATCAAGTTGGTTCTGACTTACAGCCACATTTTTATAGGAGCAGAAAGCCTCATCGTTTTTCTGTGGGGCCACTGGTGGAGTAGAACTGCCAACCTTGAGGTTAGCAGCCCAAAGCATCACCCGCTGCAGCACCAGACCATGGTGGGTGTCTTCGTTTTGGGGTTCTCTGCCTGTCGGTTAGCTTTTGGTGTGGTTTACACGTATTTTGTTCAGTTTATTCCTAATTGTTTCAGGCTTTCAGTTGCTGTTGTAAATTATCTTTTCTCATATTCCAATTGCCAGTATATTGAAACAGAAACTCGGATAGTATTGCTGATTTTATGGATTGCTAAAATATTGAAAAACATTTCCATCATAGTCACCAGAGAGACTGGTTTACAGTTTTCTTTTCTTGCAGTGTTTTGTCCAGTTTCAGAGTTAAAATGTAGAATTCTCTCTTACTGCTCATTTTTACAGTGTGGTGGCTCCATACAATAAAAGCACTGGATGGTGAACCACAAGGTTCACAGTTCGAGCCCACCAGCCACTCCACTGGAAAAAGTTGAGGCTTTCTGCTCCCTCAAAAGACTGAAAGCCTCAGAAACCCTGTACGGGGTCGCGGTGAGTCGGAACCGACTGAGTGGCAGTTAACCGAGACAACAACTGATTTCTCTTTCACTGTTGTGAACTCCCTGGTGTTCCTGGTGGCCTGCTGCTGGGAAATAATTTGTTTCGTGTTTTGTTTTTAATATGCAAAGATTACTATCTCGCCCTTAGTTCTAAAGGCCATGTTTGCCAGATACAGGTTTCTAATGAAGGCAGGTTTTCTCTATGCTGTGCCCTTGTCCCCCAACCTCCATTACTTTTGGTGACAAGTCAGTATCAGTGTTTACCTCTGTGTCCCTCTGGTTTTCTCCCTCTGGTCACTTGGAGGATTTTCTCTTTGTGTTTCACCCATTTCACTATTATGTATCTGGGTGGTTTTCTTTGAACAAGGGGGCTTCAGAAGTTTCACAAACAAATGGAATTAAAAGATACTGGGGTTATTCCACAGATTTTGGAAGCCATCTTGTATTTGCCCGGTTGGGGTCTCCTGAGTTTCTTGCATCTAAAGGATGATGCTTTTCGCTACATTTGGCGGGTGTGGGGGGATGGGGTTTCCTAGTCCTTCGGTAGCACTTGGTTTGGGCCCTAGTACTGCTCTCCTCGCTGTGTGAGACTCCTGCTAAGTCTGTGTTGAGTCATTTCGTGTCCATTGTTCCTTCATCTGCTTCCTTGGTGTGTCATTCCTCTTGGAGAACTTACACTGAGGAGTCCTGGGTGCGCTGTGGGATGAGCGCTAACTCAAAGGTCGGTTTGAAATGCAAGGTCAGCAGTTGAAACTCACCATCCGCTCCTCAGAAACCCTTTCAGTGTCACTGAGTCCGGACCGCCTCAGCAGCACGTAATGGCGCCAACAACAACCTTGTATGAGATGACTAAATTCTGACGCTCCCCTGCATTTCTCCGTGACGTCCTCATGTGCTCTCCTTACACCCCATTCCTACACACGCAGCTTCGAAGTTTGTGGTGTCACTTCCTCCAGGAAGCTTCTCAGGTTCCCTCAGCTAGCAGGACGAAGACCCCCAGCGAGATGGAGCCAAACCTGGGAGCCACAATTGTGTGGGTGTGACAGGGCTGGCCAATGTTTGTCCTGCTGGTGGTATAGAAGGTCACGAGGCCTCAACAGGCCACTGGAACCTCCACAGCTTGGTGTCTGCTCCCTCTTCCTTTTCTGACCCCCAGAGTTGGTTGTGCATCTCCTAGTGAATTTTCCCTTTCGGGGAGGAATTTGACTGGGTTGATTACAGCGCCTAATGCTTGCCATGCAGAACCCACTGACTCTTTAGTGAGTGCCCGGCGCAGGCGTTGGCCCTTCCTGTCTGTGGCTGGCCCTCTTTACGGAATCGTCAGGTGTGCTGACAGCTTGCACATTGATGTTCGAGTCGACTGTCCCCCGATCTCCACTGTGACTCCCCCTCAGAGGGAGATTTGGGGGGATGGCAGCTTCTAGGAGCACTTCGATTTTAAGATGTGGAAGGCCATTCTACTTTCTTACAGACTTTATCAATTTAATAAATAATATGTTCTGATTTTTCTAAAAAACACTAAAAACTGAGCAAAAAGAGAAAACACAAATGTTGCCACCAGAAAGAGGCACACTTAGGTTCTTCTCATGCACATGTGTGTGTTCACACTTAGGGTTCTCCTGCACATGTGTGTGTTCACACTTAGGGTTCTCATGCACGTGTGTGTGTTCACACTTAGGGTTCTTATGCACGTGTGTGTTCACACTTAGGGTTCTCATGCACATGTGTGTGTTCACACTTAGGGTTCTTCTCATGCAC